TAACATCAACTATGAGCTTCTACCCGCCCCCACAGAACAAACCGCAGATCAGGCTACTGCGCGCGCACTCTCAACTCCGGCCTCAGGTCCACCATCCACAACAGAAGCGCGTCGTGCCTCAGCTCCTTCCAAAGTAGAGATCTCCTGACGGGCAGGGACAGGGACCACAGGCCTCCAGGGAGCACCGCCGAGCTGGCAAGGAGAGGAGAGGGCCTGCGGAGGTGAGGGTGGGCGGACCTTGGCAGGGGTGAGGGTGGGGGAGCCGGGCACACCCCCCTTTGGGCATCCCACTGAACCCCGCCCCGCCCACAGGGGGAGGAGGCCAAGCCCGCGGACATCAGCCCAGAATCCAGGTACGGGGCGGGCAGGGCAGGGTCTGGGCTGTGCGCGGGCCGTGCGCCCTGACGCCATGCTTTGCCTCCACCCCAGCACCCCCAAGGCCAGCCCTTCCCCCCGGAGGCCGCGCGCCCTCAACCCGGAACCCAAGCCCGAATCGGAGCCGGATGGCGGCGGCTTCAGGAAGGTTGGAGAGCCCCACAGTCTGCCTTACACACCTGCCCTCTGCCTGTCAGTGAGCCCCGCCTGACCCCCTGTCCCTCTCCCTGTACCCCCAGCTCTACGCAGAGCTGCGCGTTGAGAACGAGAGACTTCGTGAGGCCCTGACGGAGACCACGCTGCGGCTGGCACAGCTCAAGGTGGAGCTGGAGCGCGCCACGCAGGTGAGGGCACCGGGGCGGCAGGCGACCCTGGCATCGCAGTGCAGGGGCTCAGGGCCTGGGAGTCCAGGAGCTGGGGCAGTGAGGGGTGGGGTCTGAGCGGAACTCGCCCTTCAGGGGGCGGGCCCCGCGCCAGGGGTGGGGCTATGATCCTGGGGGCGGGGCCTGGTTAAGGGGGCGGGGCTTGCGATGAGCGGAGGACTGGGGATTCTGGCCTGCCTTCCCTCTCCGCTGGTTCCCCATTCCCGGATGTTGCTCTGACCCCTGCGCTTTCTGTCCCCACCAGAGGCAGGAGCGCTTTGCAGAGAGGCCGGCCCTCCTGGAGCTGGAGAGATTCGTGAGTGGGGCAGCTGGGGTGGGGTCAGGCCATGTCCCCAGCTCCCAGCCTCTGGAGGTCTGCGTGGAGGGGACACAGCGACCCTCTCACCTGGCCCGTGGACCTTTCCCCACCATCCTCAGCCTCCCTCTGGCCCTCCCGAGCCCCCCAGTCCCTTGCCCTCACCTCCCCGTTTATTGCAGGAGCGCAGGGCCCTGGAGCACAAGGCCGCGGAGCTGGAAGAGGAGCTGAAGGTGAATGCTCACGGGGCGCGGGGGGCCGTGGCTCGCCTGCCGGGGCCTCCAGCTGACCCGTCCCATCCCACAGGGCCTGTCCAACCTCCGGGCTGACAACCAGCGCCTCAAGGACGAGAACGCGGCCCTGATCCGCGTCATCAGCAAACTGTCCAAGTGACCCCGGAGGACTTGCCCCTGCACCCGCATTTATACAGCTGCTTCTGCCACACGCACCCCTTCCCCTGTGTGAACACGAGTGACAGGGCTGCCGGGGAGTCTCTGTGAAGCCATAACCTCCCCTCGGGACCTCCAGGCTGGGAGGGGAGGACAGAGCCCCCAGGAGCCAAGGGGGCCCTCTGAGGCCAGGATGGAGCCGGGAGCTGAGCCAGGTAGGGGACCAGGGCTGCAGGCAGGACCAGGAAGGACCCGAGGACCAGGAAGTGCCAGGACCAGTAGCCAGGACCAGAGTGGCCACCCGGAGGTCCCCTCTCACGTGTGCTGCCACCAGTCACCCCTCCCGCCCCTGAGCAGGGATCCGAGAATGTGCCAAGCGTCCCGCCGGCCTGGGCCGGGCGGGCCTGTATATAGGGTCCGTGTGCAATAGGGAGGGACGTCTTCTATTTTTTGCTGCCCCCTCCCCGGCGCTGTCCGGGGCAGGGGGAGAAGGTATTTTCGAGACATAGCACAGGCACCACAAATAAAAGTCGTGAAGTTGCCACTCAGCGGCTGGGTCCCCTGCTGGAGGTGGGGTGCTGCGTCTGCCGTGTGCTGTGCGTGGCAGGGTGGGGTGCTGAGGGCGGAGGTGCGTGCTCCCCGGCTGGGGAGGCCTTCAGGAAGAGCCTGCTGGAGCAGAGGCCCGGCCCAGCTGACGTGCTCACCAGCAGGTGGCTGTGAGAACGGAGTGGGGAGCTTGGGTCTTGTCATCACTGCTTTTGAAACAGCATTTAAAATGTGGGTGATTCACATAGAAAACTCTGAAACTTGACTTCTCGGAAAAGAACAGGAAGCCATGACAGTGAGCGCTCAGTGCTGCATGGTAACAGCTGGAGCTGAGTGGGAGCCATGCTCTTCCAGGGTGGGGCAGGCATTCGTCCACCCATTCACTCATTCATTCATTCATTCCTGGTCATACTCTGCATGCCAGGCCCTGGCCTACCTGTTGCTGATACAGTAGTGAGTGAAAAAGGCAGCGATCTGAAACATCCTAGGAGAGAGGCATAAGGCACCCAGCAACAAAAGGAATGCATTTCAGGTGGTGGTGCTATGGAGAAAAGGCAGGGGGCGGGGGTAGAGGGCTGGTGTGTGTGCACGCGCTTGCGTGCGTGTATTGTGTACAGGGTGGTCAGGGTAGCCCTTACTGAGAAGCTGGCTCAGGCAGGTACTTGAAGGCATCAGGGAATGAGCCATGTCAGTATTTGAGGGAAGAGTCCTCTGGGTGTTCAGAACGCATGTGCAAAGGCCCTGGGGTAGAAGTGTGCTGACATACTGAGGCTGGAGGGAAGTAGGGGATGGGTCTGGAGAGGTAATTAATGGCTGTCCATGCAGGGCTGTGGCCTGGGAAGGACTTGAGCTGAGGGGGGGACCTACATTTGAGCAGGTGCCTCTGGCTGCTCCATCAGAGCAGTCTGGGGGAGGGCAGTGCGGGACAGAAACGGGAGACCAGTCTGGTTTGCTCATGTGGGTCAGCTGTCTGTTCAAGCTCCATTCCTGTCACAATCCCACCTGCCAGGACACCCTGGAGGCAGGCCCCTCCAGCGTTCCCGAACCAGTCCAGCTAGCAGCCTAGATGATGGCTGCGTGGGGTTATCCAGGAGGGAAAACTGTGGGGCAAGCAGGTTTGTGAACCCACTTGCATCTCTGGTCCTCCGTTAGAAATGATGGGGGCCCCAGACAAGAGGGTTAAGGTCTAGACACCCATGAGGGCCAGGTTGCTCCAGGAGGAAGGAATAGCAGGAACCAGACCTGGCGGCAGGAAGAGGGAAACAGAGCGGTGGGTCTGAGAAGCCGGTGACCCTGGCCGGCCACAGGCCATCCGAGGCTCAGGTAGGAGCTGAGCTCCATGGGGCGGGGCCGCAGGAATTCCGTCGGGGGAGCTTGGCCGTGGCCAACGCTGCTGAACGTCCAGTCTGCACGAGGCTGGGCCACAGAAGGCCAGCCTGAGCCCGCTGGCCAGAGGGGAAGGAGCTGGTTCTCCCGGAGCCAGGAAGCCCCTGTGAGCTGTCACCTGGCAGGATGGGTGGCCAGGAAGCCTGTCACGTCAGGAGCTGCCACTTCTCCGTGGCTGGGCCCCTGGCAGGAGGTGGGACGGCGCCTGCGGAGTGGATGCTGGGAGACTAAGCGCGGACGGTGTGTGTGAGAGACAGGCCTCCTGAACTGGGTGCCTGCGCTGGCCCGGGAAGGCCGAATGGGAGTTCACCAGGTGGCAGAGACTTGCTGTCGCAACAGCAGAAACCAGCGGTTGGAGAGGTTTCGGGAGTGTGTTTGGAGAAGGGCAGGCCCAGAATGCCACGCGTGGAAGAATGAGGAAGAGGCGAGGTTGCAGAGGTGGGTAGGGACCAAACCACTCGGGCCCTGGGATTCCAGGCTGTGGGGCTCGGAGGGCAATAGGGAGCCAGAGGAGGGTGTTGAGCAAGGGCGGGGCTGGGACACTGGGTGTTCCGAAGGGCTTTGGAGTGATGGGGGGCCGGAGGTCAGGAGGAAGCCTGGCTTGGGGCTCTGGGTAAGGAGAGGAGGACTCGGAGAAAGGAGGCAGCGAAGGTGGGGGCGTCTCCTAGACTCTAGGACCTGGATTGCTTCCCTCCCATGAAGTTACAGCCGGGGTGAGGGGCAGGCTCCCGAGCGCCCTGGGAGCCGGGTAGAGAAGGGACAGCAGTTGGCACGGCCGGTGACGAGGAGGCTGTTTATAGACTGGGCAGCACACGGCAAGGAGCAGGGCTGAGCGCGCCACGAGCGCGGTCCCTGCGTGGTCTTTCCCCTGCCCCTCCCGCTCCGGCCCGACCTCGCCCAGGACTGTACAGCAAGGATGGTCCATTTTATCCACGGGGATTGGGAAGAGCAGGTTCGGAACAGGTCCGCGATCCGTCCAGGGGTCTGGTTCCCTCGGCGGGGGGTTCTGCATGCAGAGTCCATTCTCCCACGGGGCGCGGGGAAACCCGCCGCCCGGACACCGTTCCCGGAGGTCCGGGGAGAGTCAAATGACCTCGGTTTCCATCTCGCCTTCCACCTTCTTCTTTTGCTTCTCCATCACGGCCTCCAGCTCTGACACGTTCTCTTTGTCCTGGAGGGCGGGGTGGGAGTGAGGACCCCGGCGGCCGAGCCCTGGGCGCCCTCCCCGGTCCCGGCCCGGGACGCGCGGACGGGCGGACGGGCGGACGGGCGGACGGGCGGCCCGGCTCACCTCCAGCAGCGCGCGCTGCACGGTGACCTGGCTGTACACGCGGGCGCCCTCCTCGGGGCTCACCGCACGGAACTCCTCCTTCTGCAGCGAGAAGATCTGCGCGCCGGTCAGCACTCCCAGCGCATCCACGGTCCTGAGCAAGGGCAGCGGGGCGCGGTCAGCCTGCCGGCCAATCAGAACGCCAGCCTCCCAAGCCCCACCAATCACGTCATGCCGGGCCAGCCGTTTGTCCAATCAGGAGCATCCTACCTAAGCAGGGGGCTCCGCTGCTCCTGAGTCCCCACCCACCAATCACAGCGTGCCACAGGTGGGCGGGGCATCCTGCTTTTGAGGGAGGCGGGACTTTCCTAGAGGCTCCAATTGGAGTGTGGGAAACCATGCCAATCACAACCTGCCATTCCCTGTGGCAACCAGACGCCCTCGCTTTCGGCCAATCGCGGTCCCCCGCGGTCCGCCACGCTGCCCTCTGGGCCAATGAGAACACTTCGCCTCCAGCGCCCGAATCTCAGGCCTCCGGAGCCGGCACCCGCTCGCTACTCACCCGGCGCTGAAGCCCTTGGCCTGCAGCCAGGCGCGGACTTCCGAGGCGTCGGAGCGCGGGTGCAGCTGGGGCTCCGGGGCGCGGGGCCCGGTGGCTGTGCGGCTGGGGCCCGAGCGGCCCTGCGCCAGGCGCGCCTGCAGCTCCTCGTTGACACTGAGCATCTGGCAGAATTTCTCTGCAGGCGGGAAACCGGGAGGGAGGGCGCATCAGGGATGGGGGTCCTCACGACGGGCCAACCCCCTCTTCCTGAGCCTCGGCTTCCCTCCTGGACGGCGAGGACAGGGCCCGCTCCACTCACCCTTGTCGCCCGGGTCCAGGTGGTTGAGGCTGTCGCAGCTGTCCCAGTGGGGCCGCGCAGGGGCGGGGGCCGGGGCCGGGGCCGAGGTCGGCGGGGGCGGGGGGGTGCTATTCTCCTGGAGAGGACCGAGAGGAGAGCACCTGGATCAGCGGGAGGACTCCGAGTCCCAGCCCCTCTCTCTCTCTCTCTCTCTTTTTTTTAAAAAATATATTTTATTGAAGGGAGAGGGATAGAGAGTTTGACACATCGATGAGCGAGAAACATCGATCAGCTGCCTCCCGCACACCCCCTCCTGGGGATGTGCCCACAACCAACGTACATGCCCTTGACCGGAACCGAACCTGGGACCCTTTCAGTCCACGGGCTGACGCTCTATCCACTGAGCC